GGGAGGGAGGGAGGAAGGGGAGGAAGGGAGGGAGGGAGGGAGGGAGGAAGGGGGGAGAAGGGAGGGGAGGGAGGGAGGGAGGGAGGAAGGAAGGAAGGAAGGAAGCCTGCCAGGGAGAAGCTGTGATCTTGCACCTCATTTTAATGGGGCATCCAAACGATGCCAGACAAGATGGGGCCAAGGGCCTGGTCCAAGTCTTGCAAAGTCCATTTGTCACTCATTGCTGGTTCACTCAGAAGATTCAGAGGAGTCAGTGTGGCGAGGTAGCCTGTTGGGGGCCCTTCCCCAGATGTCTCGGCTCCAGAGTCCCAAGGCACAGCGCCCTGATGGCCTGTGTCTCTACCATGGGGCTGAATTCCTCTGGGAGGAGGAAGCTGACAGAGCTGTGGATTCCAGCTTTCACTCTGACAAGGTCTGTCCATTATTTCTAGGTGCTCCAGAAGCTTCCACTTCAGCCCCTCACTGACCCTAGGAAAACACAGGACCTCCCCTGCTGGGCCTCTAGAGTCCTTCCCAATCTGGCTCCCACCTTTGCCCGTGCCTGGCATACACTAAGCTGAGAACAAAGGCTCTGGCAGGTTAGCCGCTGTCTCTTCTCAGCTCCTCTCATCACTCTGGATTCCAGCCAGACTGGCCTGTGTGGATCCCTCTGCCCTGGCCTGTTCTCCCTCTCATCTCCAGTCCTTCATTTCCTCCCCAGGCTGGTTGGACGCTTTGCCCCCCACGGCCTTTCCCGGTGACCCCGTGGGCTCCCTCTTTCCTGACGGTGCTTCTGTGACCACTCTGTGCTCGGGCTGGGTCCCCCAACAGAATGTCAGCCCTTGGGATCAGGACTGGTTCATTCCTGCCTTTCTGTATTGGTGCCCGACACAAAATAAGTGATCAATAGATGTTTGTGGAAGGAATCCAAGACCAAGGCAGCAAGACTGAAAGCCAGCAAATCTGAATTGGGAGAGCAAGTCGGGCTCTGAGGGCAGAGAGGGCAAGAGGTCAAGGACAGAGACACCACGTGGCAGCTCTCTGCTGGCAGGCCTGGCCAGGGCCGAGAGCAGAGCCACAACTGCCGACCGAGGGTGGCTGCAAAGAGAGAAAGTGCACCCGTGGTATGGCCAAGGACAAATGCTCCTGAGGTCACTTGCGCCATGCAAAGAGCGGTCCACAGCTCCCCGAGTCAGATGGAAGCAAGCCCAGATGGCTCCACACGTGGAGTCAGCAGCCAAGAGAATGAACAGAGCAGCACGAACCAGAGGGGTCCCGGGGATTCCAGGAGCTAAGTTCACCTCAGCTCTAAATCTGTTCCACGGGCTGGGCCAGATGCCAAGAATTCTTCCAAGAGGAAGAGCAGCTGGCGAAGGCCTGGCCCAAATCCTCTTTTTTTCTGCCCTGAAAAGCCAAGAGGACCGCAGAGGGCCACACTTGTGGGCTTGGCCGAGCTCACGACGTCACAGTGACTGCCGAGGAAAGGCTGCCCCCGGCCAGAGGCAGCCCACTGTGGCAGACAGAGCCGGATGGTAAACCTGGCTTCAAATCCACCTCAGACACCTCCTAGCTGTGTGACCCTGGACAAGCCTCTTCACTTCCATAAGACCTCAGTTTCCTCATCTATAAAATGGGGATAACAGCTCACTTCACAAGGCTGAGCTAACACGTGAAAAGTACTTTGCAAACCTTCATGTGACACAGCCATGTCAACTGGTATTAGGATGCCCAGCTGGATGTCAGATGCCAAGGGGACCACTCCATGCAATGGACTGCAGCCATCGCAGGAAATGACCTGACCTCGACGACAGGGGGAAGTCAGCCCGGCCCTGGAGAAGAAGGGCTCAGTAGGACCTCCAGAAACCCCTGTCCCGGGGCAGCCTCCCGTGAGGACTCCTGGGTGCCTTGGGTGAGCACGGCCTGGGCTGGGAGCCGGCGACAAGGGAGCCAACAGGGCGCCGCGAGTTCTTGGAGTGGGTTAAAGGTGTCACAGCATGGTGTGTCCCACCCACTTTTGGTCTGGCTGTTTGTTTAACCTGGCCAAGCAGCACCACACCTGCCTGCCCCTAAAATGACCTACCCTCCCACCAGAGGCCTTCCTCCTTGTCTCTCACCCCATCCACAGGTCCAGGAGGGACCTTAAAAAGACCTAAGCAGGGGCAGCTAGGAGGTGCAGTGGATAGAGCCCCGGGCCTGGAGAGCAGACACTTGACACTTACTAGCTGTGTGACCCTGGGCAAGTCACTTAACCCCAACTGCTTCGCCAAAAAAAGAACATGGCAGGGGGCAGGGCTTCAGGGGCACAGTCAGAGAACAGATAATGGAACACGCCTCCCTGCTCCTGGCAGAAGGGTGGGAGGCTCCCGTCTGCCAGTGCAGGTTGGCACCTGTCTGGGGCACCAAGGGCTAAATGACTTGCCCAGGATATGTCAGAGGTGTCTTGAACTCAGCTCCTGCTGACTCTAAATGGCAGAGGCACTCGACAGCCTGGCCTGTCCAGGAAGGAGCCTGCACAAGCCAGGAGACAAAGGATTCCCGGGACCCGACCCCTAAATCCCCAGAAATCTCTGGGGCACTGGGAACATATGCTGGTACTTCTCTGGACCTTTCCGATGGCTCTCTTCAATAAACCAGGGCTGTGGTGCTCTTTGTATGTAGGTGGGAATGTTACTGGTTATTTCTGGGGAGGCAGGGCCTTCACCCAGGAGCACGTTGAGGCCCCCAGTGGGCTCCCTCCCCGCCCCCACGTGGCCACCAGTGAGCCTGTCAGCCCGGCCCCGGCTCCTTGGCTCCTTTTTAGGAATGGGTCAGACAAAACTCCATTTGGGTACAAGGGTGCGGACCCTTGGGTGTGAGGAGGAAACAGCCCAGGGGCCTATACCTGAGCTTGGAGATCAAAGGTCAGCATGGAGAAGCAGAGATTGAGCATGAAGTACTGAGCCTGCAGGCTCTCCAGGGCCCCGCCCACTCGGAAGGCCATCATGCCCCGGCCCTGGATGAGGATCACCGCACAGATCACCTCGAAAAAGCCCACCAGCAGGATCACGACGAACCGGGCCTGGCCAGGGAGAGAAAGAGGAGCCCCGCTGTGCCCACCTCTCCGGGCCAGCCAAAAATGGCACCCCGCCACCCCACTGCCATGCCGTGACTGGGGCCAATCTGGATGAGTG